CCTCTGTGCATGGGCCACGAAGTTTCGATCGCACTGTACGTGCGCGCCTGCACGTGGTATTTTGTGGAAGAGCCACACTCAAGGGGCCAAAGAGCCGCATGTGGCTCACGAGCCGCGGTTTGCCGACCACTGTCCTAGCCAGTTTGGCTCAGTGGATAAAGCATCAGCCTGTGGACTGAAGGGTCCCGGGTTCGATTCTGGTCAAGGCATATACCCTGATTGCAGACTCCGCCCTGGCCCGGGCTCTGATTGGAGGCAACCAATTGATATCTCTCTCTCACATCAATATTTCTCTGTCTTTCCCTCTCTCTTCCACTCTCTCTCTAAAAAAAAAAAAAAAAGGAAGAAAGAAAGAAAAGAAAATAATACAATAATAAAGAAATAATATACAAGAATAGACTGGGTTTATGTACTCACAACTGTAAACTTACTTTCGCCCCATTCTGTAGTTATGAGTAGACATGGCTGGAAGTCAAATTTTGGTGGAGAGGCCTGAGATAGTCACAATAAATGCAGAGAAAAGAGAGAAAAAGATTTTAAAAACTAGAGAGAAGACGAAAGACATAGAAGAGAGCAAAGATGATCCTTTGATGGCTTTGAAATGAAGACGTGAACAAATGGAACGGAAAAACTACTCAGAGACATGATACAAAAAAGTTGTCCTGAAATCAAAGAATAATAGACTTTTCAGGCAGAGACAACATATCACATAATTGGAAAAGCTGATTAGGAATGAGAGCAATCAATATTCTGATTTCTTTAAGAACCTGAAGCAGGAAGAAAAACATCCAGGTCTCCAGGAAGAGGAGAGGGGGTAAAGAGTTAGATCGGCCTTGGACGTTTTCACAGCAGTCGATCCGAGAAACTACGAAGCAATATCTGCCAAGTTCTGAGGGAAACAATGTATGACCCAGGAACTTTGTGCCCAGTCAAGTTCTTCATAAAATAAAACAGAAACAGACACCTCAAACATGAAAGAAGTCAGGAGGTAAAGTACCTACCAGCCATCAACTCTTGGAAAACTCCTTAAAGGCAAATGTATTTAAACAAGAGATGAATCAAAATAAGAATCCAGGAATGAAATTGCTGGGGTAAAAGTATCCATTTAAATCGAAGTTCGTTTAATTACATATAGACTAAGGCTGAACAACAACATGAATTATGGGTTGCAGAAAAGAAGGTGAAAATAAACCTTGATACCGTAAAAATGATAGGATAGAAATATTTAGAGGGAGAGAAAAAGGGAAAAAGTATAACTGTGCTAAATAACTGTTTTTTAGTATAGACACAATTGATACTATATAAAACTGAAACATGCATTTAAAAGGAATGCATGATATTCCAACCTCCTAACAGTTTCATGATCTTTTCTTTTAAAAAAAATTTTTTATTGATTTCAGAGAGCAAGGGAGAGAGATAGAAATATCAATGATGAGAGAGAATCATTGATTGGCTGCCTCCTGCATGCCCCACACTGGGAATTGAGCACACAACCCAGGCATATGCCCTGGCCAGAATCGAACCGGGGACCCTTTAGTCCACAGGCCGATGCTCTAGCCCCGAGCCAAACCAGCTAGGGCGCTACACCATTTTATATAAGACACTTGAGCATCCACAAATTTTGGTATCCGACGAGAGTCCCACAGCCAATCCCCTGCAGATACTGAGGGCCAACTAGTTGAGTTTTGGGGGAGTCAAAACTTATATGTGGACTTTTGATTGCACAGCAAGGGGTGGTCAGCACCCCTAACCTGAATTGTTTGAGGGTCAACTGCAATCCCATTAAAAAATGGGTGCATTTTTCCAAAGAAGATATCCAAATGACCAAAAGGTACATGAAAAGGTGCTCAATATCACTCATTTATCAAAGGAACCTAAATCAAACCACAATGAGCCATCACCTCACATCAGTTAGAATTGCTATCATCAGAAAGATAAGAGATAAGTGATGGCGACGATATGCAGAAAAGGGAACTCTTATGCATTGGGGGGGGGGGGGGCGGATTGTGCACTGGTACAGCCACTATGGCAAACAGCATGAATTTCCTCAAAAAATCAAAACTATAACTACCACATTCTCCAGCAATTCCACTTCTGGGAACATATCCCAAGGAAATAAAAACATTATGTGAAAGAGATATCTGTACCCCCGTGTCCATAGCAGCCTTAAGCAGTATTATTTACAATGACCAAGACATGTTAACAATCTAAGTGTTGCATCAACAGATGAATGGATAAAGAAGTTGTGTTATTTTATGTATATTTGTATATGTACACACACACTGGATGTTTATTCAACCATAAAAGGAGGAAATCCTGTCATTTGAAACAAGTTGGGTGCATAGGTGGACTTTGAGGGTATTATGTTAAATAAAATAAGTCAGACAGTGGAATCTTAAAAACAAAACTCAAACTCATGGAAAAAAAAAAAGGCCAGATTTGTGGTTACCAGAAGCAGGGCTGGGTGTGGAGGAGGAGAGGAGGAGTTGGGGGAAGGTGGTCAAAAGCTACAAAGTTCCAGTGATAAGATGCATATGTACTGGGCATGTAATGTACACATGATGACTACAGTTAACACTGCTGTATGATACATAGGAAAGCTATTAACAGAGTAAATCCTAACAGTTCTCATCACACCAAAAAGAAAAAAAAAAGTTCTCATCACAAGGAAAAAAAAATTTTTTTAAATCTACATGAGATGATGAATGCTAACTTACTGTGGTAATCGTTTCACAATGTACCTTAAACTTATACAGCGCCGAATGTCAACTCTATCTCAATAGACCTGGACAAATGTAGACTCTCTGCAGGGTATAGAGACGATCAGAGGCCAGCACGGTGCTTGATGATTCTTGCTGAATCACCTTACTCAACATCAACAAAAATCTGACGGGATGTCTGTTTCGTGCCGTCTGTGATGCATGGATGGGGTCGTGCACACTGCAGCGTGCTGCTCAGCCTGCTTTGCTCTGTGCCTGCTTGTATGTGCTCCCCTGGACTCCCCAGCGAGTCAGACAGGCATGCGGCCCGCCGGCCGCGAGTTTGACCTGCTTGCGTGTCTCCCTTTTATACTGCAATCCCCACGCCCAACAGAATGTCTGGGCACCCGTAGGTGCTCAGGAGTGTTACAGATGATAATGCAGGTGAGACTGAGCGCCTTGGTCTGAAAGCCCAGGAATGTTCTGGCAATCTCACTGGGAGCGAGGCGGGAGGCCAGGGGCGTTACCTGCTTTCGGAGGAGTCCACCGCAGCCTTCTCGGGTCGGTCGGCTCCAGAGCAAACGCGCAGTCCTTGCCGCCCCACAGCCGCAGCGTCCAGCCACCTGTCGCTGGGCCCCGCCAGAGTGTAACTGTACCGCGTGTTTTGCAGGGAAGCCCTGGCGGAGGCGGAGTCAGGAGGGCCAGCAGAGCCTTTTCCTACCTGGTAATGAAGCCTCATTACAAACAGCGAGAACCTGTGCTGAGAACTGGAAGCACCAGCTGCCAAAGGCTGATGAATGTAATGATTTACGGCGGCTGCTTCTAGAGATTACAGAGCAGAGGAGGCCGGTGTGCGGCCCGGTCCAGGAGGGGTGGAAGTCCACTCTCCCCTTCTTGCAGTGGCTCAAACAGCTTCCAGGCTCTGGGAAACGCGTGGCCATTCAGACACAGACGTGCCTCTGAATGGCTGACCTTTCGGGGCCCTCCAACTGTGTTTAGGTTAGGGATTTCAGCCTTGGCTGGGGGGGGGGGGGCAAAAAATTAATCCTAACAAGAAAGAAAAGAAACAGCTTAGTGTTGGGAGCATACAACAGAGCTAGGCTGGCTGCACACTGTGTCTTGTGGGGAGGCCCTTGCACCCAGTGGTTAATTACAGGCTCCCCCCTCCTCCCCTTCCCAGCAGTGTGCAGCCGGGGAGGGATTGGTGCTTTGCTGAAATGTATAGCATTAGGTGGGGTCTTGCCTATTTCTGTGCCTCAAACCACAAACAGAATTATGAGGAGGTCTCATGCAAACTCAGTAGCTGTCCTGCCCAAGTGACTCATTAATATGATCCCTTTGGCTGCCCTGGAAGGCAAACAGAAAACCCAGCTGGAGCCATTTCAACCAGGAGACCCCCTTTCTTACTTTGCTTCTCTTTCAAGCTTCCTGCAGAGGAAACAAGGTTTCTCTTGTTTGTATTGGCCTTGAGGGTTTGGAAGTGCAGGTACTGGGGGGAGGGCGTCTTCAAATGGGCCCACAGTACACGGCCCCCTGTCAGGGTCAGCACTTGATGAGGACAAAGACTCAGCTTGGATACTGTGTCTGGGATTCTGTGTGGCAGGTGGACTGACACAAGCATGAGGGAAGAATTAAGAAATTGAGGTTGGGCTGTGTGTGTGTGTGTGTGTGTGTGTGTGTGTGTGTGTGGGGTTTGGGAGGCACTGAGAGCTGGTGCGAGGACACAGGTGCTGGTTTCAATTTTAATCAGAAGGCAGGGAGCCTTGCCTGGGTAGGTGGCAGATTCAGGAACTATATTTGGCTGGCTTGGCTCCCACTGTGGAAGCAAATTCTGAGACTAGAAGTGAAGCAAGCAACCACAGTCTAATTAACCCCCCACAGACTTACAGTGAAGTTCCCTTTAAACTGATTGAGAGGCCCTCCGTCAACAGCAGTGAAATGTGTGTGTCTGCACATAAACACCCGTGCCGAGCACATTAAAGAGGTCTGAATGCTTCATGATGCCTGTAATTATGGTGCATGCAATACAGCGCCACACCACTCCCCTCTCTAACAAGAGTGCTGTTTTTGCCCCAAACCGTGGTGAACTTGCATGCCTTCAGCACGGTGCTTGCCTAAGCAGCTGGTCCTTGGGTGGAGAGGCAGATGGCATCATGCTCAGGGAACTTTCCAGAGCCTTCAAGAATGGCTCCACAAGCAAAGGCCAGGCAGGTAAAGTGACGTCCATCTCTACCCGGTAGTGAGTTGAACAGGTGGTCAGACTGCACACAAAGCATTTATTTGCAGAGGGACAGGGAGGTTGCCCAAGCCACAGACTACTTCAGTTTAAGGCCGAAGGACCCTCTCCACTTCTAGGAAGCTTTTCAGCTCAAGGGAATCTAGCAGGGAATCCAGCTCTGGGAGGGTGGGGGATGGGAGGCTGTTTGGGGTAGATGTGGGAGCAGTGGGGGAAGACTCCTCAAGGAACTTCATTGACCACTTGGTGAGAAGGCAGCATTTTCTTCATGAAAAGAAGTTTCTCCACTAGCTGAAACAAATCAACAAAAACACATTTGAGTGAGAGAAGCTATGGATGATTGAAAATTGGTAAAGAGATCACAATAAGATTATAGGAAAGGTAGGAATCTCGTGGAAAGTAGTTGGCCTTTGGAATAAGACAACTTGGGTTTCTTTTTCTTTTTCCTTTTTATAGATTTGAAAGAGAGGAAGGGAGAGAGAGAGAGACAGAGAGAGAAACATCGATCTGTTGTTCCACTTATTTATACATTCACTAGAGGCCCGGTACATGGAATTTATGCACCGGTAGGGTCCTAGGCCTGGCTGGCAATCAGGGCCAATATGGGCCTTCCAGCTGCTGGCCAGGGCCTTCCTTCTAACTGCAAGCTGGGGCCTCCCTTCAGATCACGCCGCCCCCTGGTGGTCAGCGCACATCATAGCTAGCGATTGAACTCCCAGTCTCCCAAACTCCTGAGGGGACACTTTGCACATTAGCCTTTTATGTATATAGACTAGAGGCCCGGTGCATGAAATTTGTGCACTTGGGGGGGGGGGCCTCAGCCCGGCCTAAGCTCTCTTGCAGTCCGTGAGCCTTTGGGGGATGTCTGACTGATGGCTTAGGCCTGCCCCCCCGCAGGGAGCGGGCCTAAGCCATCAGTCGGACATCCCCAGCAAGGCTGTGGAGGAGGGGGAGGCTCCTGGCACTGCCGCTGCGCTCACTAGCTGTGAGCCTGGCTTCTGGCTGAGAGGTGCTCCCCCTATGGGAACGCACTGACCACCAGGGGGCAGCTTCTGCATTGAGCATCTGCACCCTCATGGTCAGTGCACGTCATAGCAACCGGTTGTTCTGGCATTGGGCCAAAACTGGCTCTCTGACATCCCCCAAGGGGTCCCAAATTGCGAGAGGGAGCAGGCCAGGCCGAAGGACCCCATGGGTGCATAATCGGGGCCAGGGAGGGACATGGGAGGTTGGCCAGCCAGGGAAGGGCCACAGGAGGGCTCCAGGGCGTGTCCAGCCTGTCTCACTCAGTCCTGATCGGCTGGACCCCAGCAACAAGCTAACCTACCGGTTGGAGCGTCTGCCCCCTGGTGGTCAGTACATGTCATAGTGAGCAGTTGAGCAGCCTTAGCATATCATTAGCATATTATGCTTTGATTGGTTGCTTCTTGCATGTGCCTTGACCAGAAATTGAATCAGGAAGATGCTGTAACCAACTGAGCTACCTGGCCAGGGCCAACTTGGGTTTCAAATCCCTGCTCCATAGGTATTAGCTGAGTTACCTTGAGCAAATGACTGAAGCTCTCTGAGGCTTTGTTTCTTATCTGTAAAATGGAGATAATGATGTAGTCCTAGCAGGGTTTCAGGGGAAATGAAGAGAACAGGGAACCTAAAGTTGTGCTGGCACACAGCAGGCACTCACTAAATGGTATTCTTACATTCTTGAAGAATATTCAGCTTAATTCACCACTTTTTTATATTTAAAACAAATTTGTGCATTTATTCAGATGTTCATAGGCATATGAAAAAATGAGCTTGGTTAGAAACATCCAGCTTTTATAGTCCACAGAAATGAATCCAATAACAAGACAGTTGGGAAGGAGCTGGATGGCACGTTTTCCACTTGAAAGGAGGAAGTTGCTTCCCTGTGGCGCTCTTGTTTCTGAAGAAAGGGATGTTACAGAGTCCCAGCTCTGGCTCTACCTCCTCGCGTGATCACAGAAAACCGCTTTTCTGTTCTGGGCCTTTGTAGTTTTGCTGGGATCATGGGGGTTGGACTATATAATTGCTAAGTTATCTCTTAGAACTGATATTCTATTCCTTATTCAATGTATGCCATGGATGGGGCCTTGGAGGGAGACATAAAGATATAGAATTATGATCAAATAAAGGCTTGGATTTCCTTAAAGAGCTGGCAAGGAACTAGTCCCCAAACTCATGCATATGCTCCTGTAATCCTCACCCTTTAAAACAGACTGCATATATACATCGATGTATATCTGTGCATATATACACACGCATACATTCATATACATACTTAGACATATACTATATGTCATTCCTACCCTTGCCTCTCTCCAGTGTAGAGGCTGGAAAAAATTGCTTTCCCAGAACCACTTGCTGGTAGGTATGGTCATGTGAGCATGTCTGGTCAATGAGATAATAGGCAAAGTCCATTAGAGGACTTCTCAAAACATTTTTCCTTCACTGACTGATAAACATTTTTTCTTCACTGACTTCCCAGGGAAAGGCCTTCCTTGCTGCCCTCTCTTCCTTCCTTCCTTCTTGTCATGAGTGAGGACCTGATGTCGGGAGCTGTGGGAGGCATTTGGCCACCATGTGGGACAAAGATGAAGACAAAAAGCCAATATACCAGGGATGGTATGTCAGATGGTATTTCATTGGGACCTAATGAAATCATTGAGAAGCCTAGACCACCTCATTTCTGGAACTCTCAGATAAACGTGGTTTATGTCCTTACTGTTCCCAGGGTGGTCTGTGGGCCGGCAGTATAGGCCTGACCTGCCCAGGTTTTGGGTGCACATTAAACTTCAGGTGCACTGGTGTATAGCTCCATTAATTAGGCTCTATTACATGCAGCTGAAAGCATTCCTAACAGATACGATGTATGCACAGTAAGTCCTCACGTGACATTGTCAGTAGGTTCTGGGAACTATGATGAAATGATATAAAGGGTGTCCCAAAATTCACACAAGATTTGAATTTTGCATGAGCATTAACAACAACAACAACAAATAAAAGCCTAATTTTACTTGGTTTATTGAATCAGATTCTAATATTTGTTGCCCTTTGATTTCAATCCCTTCAATTTGATAAGCATTACCAAGTACCAATTATGGCCCAGGAGCAGGGACAATGAAGACCAATGAAGACCACGGCTTTGCGTATGTGCCAGCAAAGCTGTGGAGGCCATTTACCCAATGTGCTATTCCATACATAACCCTATACTGTATACTTTATGAATCAATAAAAAATTTACAATTTTTAATTATAAACCTGTGTTTTCTATCAAAATTACTTCTTGCGTGAATTTTGGGACACCCTATATAAGGAAGCCAGTTTTACTACAGAATATAAACAAGCGTTAAATTCCTATGGCATCTCATCAATGTTATAATGAAATGATGTTGAACTAAATGACCTTATTGGAGAACCTGCTGCACTAGGTATGTTTTAACATTTATAGGCATGTCTATGTGTGTATGTGTGTATCTGTTTATATGGTTATAAACAGGTGTAACACATTTATGTATACATGCACATTTATAATATATATTTGTGGAAGGACAGAGTGAGGCTATGGGAGTGTGTGTGTGTGTGTGTGTGTGTGTGTTTTGGGAAGTTTGGGGGTGATTTCTTCTATCTTTTTTTTAAAAAATATTTTTTAATTCATTTTTTACAGAGAGGAAGAGAGAGGGATAGAGAGTTAGAAACATCGATGAGAGAGAAACATCGATCAGCTGCCTCCTGCACACTCCCCACTGGGGATGTGCCCACAACCAAGGTACATGCCCTTGACCAGAATCGAACCTGGGACCCTTGAGTCTGCAGGCCGACGCTCTATCCGCTGAGCCAAACCGGTCAGGGCTTCTTCTATCTTAATTACTTCTATAGTGTTTGAAAATAAATATTTTAAACGATGAGTTGTGCTCCTTTTATAATGAAGTAAGAAGAGACCTACCGGCTCTCCTCCCTGTCCAGCAGGACGTGGTAGGAAGCCACGTCCCTCTGCAGCTGGCACCTGTGCGCCAGCAGCTGCTCCCGGGTCTGCTGCTGCTGCTCCGCCTCCGCACGCATCTCCCGGAGCTCCGCCTCCAGCCTGCGGACCACGGCGCCCAGGTTCTGCAGCTCCAGGTCATGCCAGTGCTTGGCGTCCTGCAGAGTGTTCTCCAGGCCTCGTTTCTGCAAAAGAGGGAGCACGTCCAAACTCAAGGCCGACGGGCAGGGCCTTGGAGAGGGAGGTGTGCAGGGCAGTGGGAGGGGCTGGCATTGGTCTGGTCGGTTACTAGGTTTACGTGGCTTGGTGCGTAAATCATGAATCCTCAGGAGGCCAGACTCTTGTTTAGTCTAATTTACTGATTCTTCTGATGGGGGTGTGGGTGGGGGTGGATGTGGGAGACATGGGTGGGTGTGTGGGATGGAGGGGAGGAAGAGAAGACGGAAAAACAGGGAGAGGGAGAGAGATGAGATATAAGAACAAGAGATGAGTGAGAAAATGAGAGAGGAAACAAATGAGAGAGAAACTGACACACACACACAGAAGCAGTCTGCAGGTGTTTCTTCAAAGAAACCCTGCTCTCTGAGCTGCCTCTGGGCCTTTTTTGATCGTTTTCTCACCCCCTGGGGGGCCCTATCCCCTCCACTGCCGAAACCCCACCCATCATTCAGCTAAAATGCTGTCTCCTCTGCACCCTTCCCCAGATGGTCAGAATGACAATGGACGTCTCTGGCTGTTCTGTGCTCAGCAGTTGTGTCTTTAGTGTTTTAGGTGCCCATTTGGGCTAATTCCTCTTTCTCTGGTTCCCCCTTCCCTCTGGGTTTCCCACCGCCCCATCCTGAACCTGTTACTCTCTGAGCTGTTTCCCGGGCCTGTTAGTTGGTCTCTCCCACACTCACGATTTTCCCAGTCTCTCTGCCAATGGCTCCTGCAGTGATTCTTTTAGCACAGACTTCTCTCCTCTCTCCAAGCCCCGACCCACTTCTGAACTTCCTACTGGAAATATGTGCAGTCCAGCGCACCTCAAATCAAGGCGTGCAACACGGACCTGTTGGTCTTTCCTATCCTGCACTTCAGCAGGTGAACTGAGAACTAGAAACTGGGGAAGGACACACCCCTGGTCTTCTTGCTTCTCTCCCAAACTCAGTCATCACCGAATTCCACCCCTCATATATTCCGAAAAGTTTTCACTTGTGTGCCCTCTCTTCTCCAGCCACCAGTGCCCAGGATGGATGCGCATCACCTCTCCTCAAGGGGGACCTCAGTGGCCTCTTAGCTTGTCTTCCTGCCTCTAGTTCCTCCTTGGGCTGCATTCCCCACACGGAAGCTCCGGTGCTCTGTCTAAAGTCCAACTCTGGGCCTGTATCCCCTCTGCTTTAACCGCATCCCCAAGCTCTCCAGGGTCCCTAACATGGCACCCACGACTGGCCCAGCTTGGTTTGTGAGTAGTGATTGCTGACATTGGACCTGTAACACCTGTGATTTGGAAAAATATTTTACAGAGCCATGGCTGGGTCATCTGTTTACAGGTTTGGCTCCACGTTCACAGGTGACTCCTCCATGAGGCCTAGGGTCCTTTGATGACTCAGGACCCACTGACCAAGCCCCAGCTCTCCCCCCTAAGTCCTGACATCCTGGCCTGGTTCCCACAGAGACGCTTGAGCTGAGTGACTATGATGAGGCCACTGCTGCGGGTGTGCCAGCCCTGGCCTGCGAGGGGACATGGATAGCACCAGCGAGCATACTGTGGTCAGAGCAGCATGCTTACTCCCAAGCTAATGGAAATTGGAAGGGATGCCCTTGAATTATAGACCCTCCAGAAAGTAAAATAGTGATCTGTGATTTCTGGTCTTGAATTCCTGATCCGACTGAACACAGAGCTCTGTAGGCCTCAAGCACCATTATTGGTGCCTGGCTGCTCATATACGGTATCTTGTTGGAAAAGGCACTGAACATCTCATCAGCTTAGCTGTGGGAGCCTTGTGTGTGCACAGGCTGCTCTGACCGAGGGCCAGTAACACAGCAGATAAATAGGACGACCAAGGTAGATCCTCACATGAAAGAGAGGAAGTGGAATTTTAGAGCATTACTCGGCTCATGAGTAGAGGAAGCAGGATTTGATTGCAGAGCCTGAGCGCCAACCCCCAACGCCATAGGCTGGCTGTGGTCTAGGACAGAGATAGAGCCAGAAGGGCTTGGCTCCTGCACTGATTACTACATTAATGGGAAAATCCCTGAGCCACAGATTTCTCATTTGCAAAATGGGATGGCAGTCACAGTCCTGCCCACTTCTCAATGTTTCTCTGAGGATGCGATGAGAGAGTGCATATGAGCATGTTCTTACTATCAGTGTCAGTGTCACTTTGAGGAAATTTGGGACACTGTACCAAGAAATCTGGGGACATAAAAGTAATGAAGCCTGGGTCCTGCCCTCAAGGAGTTAATGTGACTTTGGTGGAAGAGCTGATTTCAGCTCACGGACCACTCTGAACGTGAGTGCGTGGCGGGCGGGGGGATCACCCAGCTGTGGGAGTGAGGAGCTAGGCTCCTCGGGGGGGTGGGGGGGGGTGTCGCATTTCTGTGTTTTCACCTCACCTGTGCCAAGGGTTTGGCAAGGGGAGCAGGTGGAGGCGGGCAGACTTGAGGGGAAGAGTCTCCTTCCAGCCACAGGAAGAACTCATTAAGGGCTCAAGGCAGGAAAGGAAAGGACGAAATCTGGACATTAATAGGAAAATCTGGCAAAGGAGGGCTTTCTGTTGTAAGCCAAGCTCAGGCCATTCCAGGGGTTCAGACCCTGAAAATGCAGAATAGAGGAGGCAGTAGGTAGAGGCATGTCCAGATGGTGCAGCACGAGACAGGGGGATTCTGTGAAGGAAACAGGCGGGGGATAAAGCTTCTGAGATCTTTTGAAGTGGGAAATGGAAACCAGAGACCTCATGTTGGGGGACCTTAACTTTATCTGCAGAATAATACAGGTGACAGCACCTGCTGAGGGGCGGAGGGGAGGGTTGCCAGGGGGCTTGCTGAGAACAGAGGCTGGAGGGAGCAGCTGCTGGGGAACACAGGTCCCCTCTGCTTTGTTCAGTCATTTGTGCACAGGTTTTCAATCAAGTTGTGAGCTTTTAGAGGACAGGCACTATCCAATTCAGATTGGCCTCCCCAGGGGCTAAGGGAAGGCCTTGCACATCGCAGGCACCCAGTATACGTGTGTGGAATGTGTGCTGAGTGATGGGCCACCTGCCACTGAGGAGTCATTCATCTGGGCTTTTTTTTATGATGTTGGCTTGAGAATATGTCCTCAACCTTTCGCCTGGAACTTTCTGTCGCCAGAAGAGTGACACTTTTGGCAGCCACAAGGACATCTGGGGAAGGAATGGCAGTCCTTTCACTGTGCCAAAAGCAACAGAGGTGAGAGGCAGCACCCCTAATATTAGGGTGTTTATCAAGGGTTATGGCAGGCGAATAAAACTGGTTAGCATAACATTCACCTACCTCTGAGTAAATAATGCCATTGCTTTTAGATGTTTTCTTTGTTTGAATGTGAAAGTAGCATTGCTTTAAACTGTAGTTTCCTGATTTCTCTCACCTCAGATCCTTTACTCACACCCCCTTGCTCTGACCCAGATCCCATCAGAGAATGAGAGGGACAGAAGAGGAGTAATGATGGCACTGGTCGGGTAGCTCAGTGGGTTAGAGCCAAGGTTGCAGGTTAGATCCCTGGTCAGGGCACATACAAGAAGCACCAATGACTACATTAATAAGAGAAACAATAAATCTCTCTCTCTCTCTCTCTGCCTTCCTCTCTCTCTCTATAAGTCAGTCAATCAATAAAAAAGAAGTGGAGCAATGAGATGCATGTCATGTTGTGGCAGGAAGACTGAGCACCTTCCTGAGCTGGCTGGGCACTGTGTGACCTTGTTGGCCGGAGGACAATGGACCCAAGTGAACTGAAGGAACCGGAGGTGATGGGATGCTCTTGGCAACAGGCAGAGATAAAGCTGTTCCCGAGGGAAACTACTAGGATAAATGCCTGAGCTAACTTCATGGCAGGTGTGACCGGTGGCTTGAAGATGGAGCCGATTTGGGTGGCAAAACTGAGATGCAGGTTTATGGGGTGTGGTGGGAGAAAGGGGCATCAACAGTGGTACCTGATCAGCCCTAGGACTTGAGGCTGATGGGGGAGAGGGCTTCTTGGGCCTCAGTGGACTAGACCACCTCAGCTACGCCAGCATCGCATGAACCAACGCCTTCGTGCGCGCTGGTTGACCTGGTACACATGGCCCCTGGAGGGCATCCAGGAGGAGCTGTGCTTGACAACCTAATAGAACTTTAGGGCACCCCAGAGACCAGAGGTGGACTGCTGGATTATTAATAATCGTTTAAATTAATAATAATTAATGATGTGAGAGATCTGCCCACAAACCACAGTGAGTCTGAGGAGCTTACCAGGTGTCTTAGGATTGGTGCCCCAGAAGCAGAGCCTGCGACAGGGATCCTGGTGCATGGGGATAATTAAGGAGCTGTTCCCAGGAAAGGGGGCGCAAGGGAAGCAGGGCAGGGCTGGGCAGGGGAGGTGCTAAGCCAGGAGGTGGTCTCAGCCGGAGTCTGGCTGCAGCCTGACCCCACGGAGCCCCGGAGAGTGAATTACCCCAGAGACCTGGTCCCACTTTGAAGCAAGGAAGCTGGGCTTTTAAACCCCCTGTGAGTCGGTCATTGGC